GACAACGAGCGAGGTGTCCCGGCTGTCCTGCCAGCCTGGCTGTCACCTGCACACCGGGCCAAGGATGGCTGATGCGAGAGAACATCACCGCGCGGCCAACCTGCCCGACATCTGCCTTGCTTTGCTCGGCCGACATTGTGGGAGAGCTGGGGCACCCACGGGGGCCGGGATCTCCTCCAGGTGAGGTACCAGGGATGTGACAGGGATGTACGTGACCAAGATCTGTGGGTGGCTGTGGCACCCCAAGCCATGGCACCTCACTGTGGCCATGGCACCCAACGGCAGTGGTGCCCGTGGTTGTGCCGATGCTGGGGGGGTGGGATGGAGGTGAGTCCAGTGGGGTGTCACTGGGACACAGAGGTCCCCCACCTCTGGGGAAGCTCGTTACCCTGGGGGGCATTTGCCTGGGATGATCAGGGTGGGGAGTCCAGGACTGTCAGAGCTGGAGCTCACCCATGGGTGCTGTGTCCTGGAGCTCACCCATGGGTGCTGTGTCCTGGAGCTCACCCATGGGTGCTGTGTCCTGGAGCTCACCCATGGGTGCTGTGTCCTGGGCCCTGAGCCCACCTGAGGTGTCCGGTTGTTGCCCCCCCCCCCCCCAAGATGTTCTGTCCTGGGAGGTGGAGCCCACCCTGAGGTGACATGTCCTGGGTGATAGAGCCCACCTCAAGTTGACGTGTCCTGCGTGATGGGAACCACCCCAAGATGCCACGAGGACACGGTGATGGAGCCCATCCCGAAGTGACACGTCCCAGGCTGAGGCAGGATGAGGAGTCCCGGGGGCAGCGGCCCACGCTTGCTGTCACCAGGAGAGGTCTGTGCCAGCCCCGTAGTGCCCTCTGCACTTGCTGCAGGAGGATGCCAGCGTGCCAGGGCTTTCCTCGACTCCTCACCCAGCGTGGAGGTGGTGACGGCACAGCCCGGCGTAGCCCTCCCACTCAAATCCGTGATGGCTGGGGGGGGCCAAGGGCTCCCCAGGGCGAAGCTGCCAAGCGCGGTGGCTGGGCACTGCCCCGCCAGCGTCCCCGTGGCCCGTTCCTGGTGGCCGCAGGGGCTTGCCATGGTCACCCAGCCTGGAAGGGATGGCTGGGCTCTGCCCGAGGTGTGAGTGCGGGGAGAAGGAGACCTTCCCCCGGGCAGGAGCAGGGACGGGGCAGCGGGCGAGCGTCCTCGCCCTGAGCCATCGCCCAGCCCCGTGGTGGGTGCTGGCCCCACCAGAGCTCCCGGCCAGTTCAGGGAGCTTTGCCAGTCCCGGCCACGTGGGCCATGGGCTGTTTTGGCCGGAGCTGCACGAGCATGGGCGCAGGGCCCTTCCCACCCCCCCGGTCTTTGGGAGCGGTGACAGGGTCCCAGCAGCCCCAGGTGTCACCAAACCCTCCTGGTGCTGTGGCCCTGGCAGCATCTCCCAGTGCTGCAGTGCATGGCAGAGGGGACAGTGCCTCGGCCAGGGAGCCAGGGGACTCTGCACCCTCACAGCCAGCCACGGGGACCTCCCAGGGACGTGGCTGTTTTCCCTCGCCAGGGGCATTGCCGCTGGAGGGGGGATCCAGCTTCGCACAGCCCCGTGTGTCCCCGTCCTCCCTCCCCAGAGGGACACCGCAGCCAGAAACCTGGCTGGGCTCAAGCAAACTCCAGCTGCAGCCGCTCTGCCCTGTGGGGCGGTGACGCTCCACTTCCACACTTGGCTGTTATCCACAAAAAAGAGCAGCTTTACCCCGGAGATCCCCCGTTGTGCCGAGGTGGAGGTCGGGATGGTTATCCCGGCCATGCCCCCACGTGCTGGAGGAGCGACCCCAAACCCTGCCCTAGCCCCGAGGACTGCACCCCTCCACCATGCATCGGTGAAGCCCCCGGTTCCCCGCTGGGCTCCCCTCCCACCTTCTCCTCACCAGAGGGGGGGGTTAAATGGGAAGACAATGCCCAAAAATGGGAAAACAACCCCCCCAGGCCACCTCCTGCACCCCAAAGGAGCCCGGGTCCGGGAGCCCGGCTTGGCGCCAAAGGTAAAAGCAAAACTCATCGTGCAAACCCCACCGGTCACAGCGCAGCAGAACCACAGGCAGGAGATGTGCCGCTGCTTGTATCTTTTTCCCAAACCTACAGGACCAGGGCGAAATACAGGACCACCCGATAAGCAGGAGACGCCGAGGGTGGGGACTCAGGGGTCTCCAGCTGCCCCTCGGAGCTGGCTTCGGGGCTGCAGACCCCAACGCACCTCCCGGCCCTGGAGCCTCCTCCAAGACGGGGGATCCCGGCGCTGGGCTGAGAAGGGTGCTGGTGAGAGGGTGCCCAACGCCGTGCCCGGTCCCATGGCATCACCCAGGCTGTCTGCTGCAGCTCGGGCCATGCCAGCCTCCATGCCAGCCTCAGCACAACCAAGAGCTGGGCCAGTGGTCACCCACCATGGCGACAAGCCCCCGATGTCCCACAGGGCCACCAGCCCAGCCTAGGGTCGCACCAGCCATGCTCATAGAGGACCTTTCCATCCCCCTGGTCCCCAGACCCGACCTGTGGCCCTGCGGAGGTCACCCCACCACCGGCGGGACGTGTCACTGGCCCCAAACCCCGTTTATTAGCGAGAATAGTCCAAGATGTCCTTAAAAGGCCAAAACTCGGCAGGGCTGGGGGTGCCGGGTGCTGGAAGGCGGCAGCTGCGGGTGCCCGCACGCGGGGCCATGGCGGC